TCTCTGCTCAAGGGACCGACCTGAGGATGGGACCCCTGTGGTTCCATCTTCTAAAGGGATAGATATGAGGACAGGGCATCTCTGAGTCCCGTCTGCTCTAGGCACAGGCCTGAGGATGGGACCTCTGTCGGTCCATCTACTAGGGGGATAGATATGAGGACAGGACCTCTCTCAGTCCTCTCAGCTCAGGGGATAGGACTGACGATGGAAGCCCTGTCGGTTTATCTTTTAAGGGGATATATGTGAGGACAGAACCTCTCTCGGTCTCCTCAGCTCAGGGGACAGGCCTGAGGGTGGGACCCTTGTCGGTCCATCTTCTAAGGTTATAGATATGAGGATAAGACCTCTCTCAGTCCCCTCAGCTTAGAGGACAAGTCTGAGGATGGGACCTGTGTGCGCCCATCCTCCAAGAAGATAAATATGAAGAGAGGATCTTTCTCTGTCCCCTCAGCTCAGGGGACAGGCCTGAGGATGGGACCCTTGTCGGTCCATCTTCTAAGGGGATAGCTATGATGATAGTACCTCTCTGGGTCCCCTCAGCTCAGGGAGAGGCCTGAGGTTGGGATCCCTGTTGGTCCATCTTCTAAGGGGATAGATATGAGGGCCGGACCTCTCTCAGTCCTCTCAGCTCAGTGGATAGGCCTGAGGATGGGACCCCTGTTGGTCCATCTTCTGAGCTGATAGATGTGAGGACAGGACCTTTCTTCATCCCCTCAGCTCAGGGGACAGGCCTGAGGATGGGACCCCTGTCGGTCCATCTTTTAAGGGGATCGATGTGAGGACAGGACTTCTTTCAGTCCTCTCAGCTCAGGGGATAGGCCTTAGGATGGGTCCCCTGTCCCTCCATCTTCTAAGTAGATAGACTTGAGGACATGACGTCTCTCAGTCCTCTCTGCTCAAGGGACGGACCTGAGGATGGGACCCCTGTTGGTCCATCTTCTAAGTGGATACATATGAGGACAGGACGTCTGTCAGTCCTCTCTGCTCTAGACACGGACCTGAGTTTGGGACCTCTGTCGGTCCATCTTCTGAGGGGATAGATATGAGGAGAGGAACTCTCTCAGTCCCCTCAGCTCAGGGGACAGGCCTGAGGATGGGACCCCTGTTGGTCCATCTTCTAAGGGGATCGATGTGAGGACAGGACCTCTCTCAGTCCTCTCAGCGTAGGGGGTAGGCCTTAGGATGGGTCCCCTGTCCCTCCATTTTCTAAGTAGATAGACTTGAGGACAGGATGTCTCTCAGTCCTCTCTGCTCAAGGGACGGATCTGAGGATGGGACCCCTGTCGGTCCATCTTCTGAGGGGATAGATATGAGGACAGGAACTCTCTCAGTCCCCTTAGCTCAGGGGACAGGCCTGAAGATACGACCCCTGTCGGTCCATCTTCTTAGGGGACAGATATGAGGACAGGACCTCTCTCAATCGTCTCTGCTCAAAGGACAGGCCTGAGGACAGGACCTCTCTAAGTCCTCTTTGCTCTGGGATAGACACGTGAATGGGATCTTTCTCAGTCGACTGTGCTCAGAAGACAAGCCACAGCACAGGACCTCTCTCTGCCCACTAGGCCTCACATGCCTGAAGACAGCATCTCTCTCAGTCTTCTCTGCCCAGGGACACCGGAGGATGATACCTCTCCCACTGCTTTCTACTCAGGGTCAGGCCTGAGGACAGGACCACTCTCCGTCTTCTCTGCTAAGGGGACAGACCTTAGGATGGGATCCCTCTCTGACCTCTTACACAGAGGATGGGCCTGTGGACAGGACCTCTCTTATGACTCTCTGCCCAGGGATGGGTCTGAGGACAGGAGTCCTCTCAGTCGTCCTGCTCAGGGGATGCCTGAGGATGAGACCTCTGTCAGTTCTGTTTGCTCAGGGGACAAACTAGAAGATGGGACCTCTCTCAGTCCTCTCTGCTCAGAAAGAAACCTGAGGATTGTACTCTGTCGGACATTTCTGCTCATGGACAGGGCTGATGATAGGATCTCTCTCAGTTGTTCTGCACAGGGGACACCTGAGTATGGGACCTCTTTCAGTTCTCTTTGCTCATGGAACAGGCCTGAAAATGAGACCTCTGTCATTTCTCTATGATCAGGGACAGAGTTGAGGACAGCACCTTTCACAGTTCCCCCTGCTCAGGTTTCGGAGAGAGGCCTCTCTGCTCAGGAGACCCAACTCAGTCCTCTCTCATTAAGGAACAGGTCTTATGATGGCACCCATCTCAGTTAATTTTCTCAGAGGTATACCTGTGGACAGGACTGCTCTCACTCCTCTCTGCTCGGGGGACAGACCTGAGGACAAGACCCCTCTCAGACCACTTTGATCAGGGACAGGCCTGGTGACGGGACCTCTCTCGGTCCTCCCTGCTCAGGGGACAGGCCTTAGGATGGGACCCCACTCAGTCTTGTCTATTCTGGGGCAGTCCTGAGGATGGGACTTCTCTGAGTCCTTTCTGCTCAGCCTCACCCCCCATGATTGGGCTCTGATCCCGCTCCCTCCTCCACTGCTCAAGCCGTCTGTGAGCCCAGGAGGTTGCTGCTTATTGAATGGGCTTGGTCAGCCCCTGGGCACCCAGGAAGGCACCTCGATGGACCTTTCTGTCCCCAGGCCACACATGCCCCGTGCCCCCACCCCCCAGGGACACTTGGTGAGGACTGTGCAGTGAAGCACAATGCATGGTAGGAGCTCTGCAAGCCGGCACACACCAAGGGCCTGGCCAGGATGAAAGGGACAGGGGGCCCCGTGGTGGGGCCCGTCCTTCAGGCCCAACAAAGTCTCCTTGCTCCAGGCTGGTGGGGAAGCAACTGGTTCCTCCCGGTACCTCCTTCCAGACTCCCTGGCTAGATCCCTTCCAGGTTTCACAACCCAGCTATCCAGCATGTGTGCTCACATGCTCACTGACACAGTCACGCACACGTTCAGTGACACGCTCACGTTCCAGACACACTCACATGTGCGTACACATTGAGTGACAAACACACATTGAATGACACATACATGCCTGCTCATCGACACACCCACATTTGCAGTCAGCACACTCACGCACAATGACTCACAAACACACACACACTGACACGCATTGACACACAGTGTCACACACATGCAGCGACATGCATGCTCACTTTCAGTGGCACAGCCTCATTCCCCCACACACTCCCACTCACACATGCTTAGTGATGCAGTCACATGCTGTCACTTGGATTCACACACACTCACTTTCTCAGAAACTCATGCACATGCTCACACTGACACACACACGCACATGCGCAAACACACCCGCTCAGACACTCACACTCACACCTGCTCGGGAATCACGGCACACACAGGTCCACTCTGAACAGGGAAAACCAAGGAGCCCTGACAGGCTCTGGCAAGGTCAGCCAAGCTCTTCGCCCTCTCTTCTTGTCCTGTCCCTGAAATCTGGAGGGGCCCTTGGAAAGTGAGCAGTTGACTTGGACCTGCTAAGACACAAGGGACAGACATGCTGGGGTTGTGCCCAGCCTGAAGAAGGCAGGGACAGCAGAGCACAGTGGGGGCCCCAGGCATGCCTGCAGGGCACCCTGATGGGACACACTACAAGGGTCCCTGAGACACTGGTTAGGCACCTTCAGGCCGAGGAGGCTGCAGACCCAGCCCCAGGGACCTGCTGCCCCTGCCCCTCCCCGACAGCCCCGCAAAACTACCCCCCGCCGACGCCTGCACTCGCCTGTGTATGCCTAGGGTCTCCCAGGGCCCCTGCCGCCCTGCAGCCCTGCTGACTGCAGCTCTGCTCAAGCAGACAGGTCGCCTAGATCCAGGATTCCTCAGCTCAGGCGGGCAGCCACCCATTCCCAGCACTGGCTCCCAGGCTGCTTTGGGGCACCCTGGCTATCATCTGAGCCAAGGGGATGGTCGGAGGCTCTGTGCTCCAGAACAGCTGGAGGAAGCGTATGGGCACAGACTGAGTGAGCTCCGGGAGACCCTCGCCAGGTCCAAGTCACTGATCCTGTCCCCTCCCCGCACTTGTGCAGGGAGGGGCCTATCACTTGTCCCAGTCCTGTTGCCCACAGACTCTGGGTTAGTTAAATGGCTGATCAAGGACTACCCTCAATTTGTGGCGAGCTCCCTGGCCTGTTGGGAGAGAGAGCCAGTCCCAGGAGGGCTCAGGAGGGCGGGTTCCAGGATCCTCAGGCCCCCACTGAGGACTGCCCCTCTGGCCAGTGCTCAAGGAGGGGTGTTCGGATTAGCAGCGCTGTTCACCCTGAGGGAGCCCTCCTCAGGCAGCATCCAGGGCTCAGAGGGCCTCGGGGACGCAGGACAGAAAGGGGTCACTCCCCAGGGCCATCTGGACTTGCTGCTCATGGCCCACTGCCTGCTCCCAGGACACAGGAGTAGAGGCCCCCCCAGCACACTGGGAAGAGAGCAGGACAGGACCCAGGATGAAGTGCAGCTCCCCCCCAGCCTTTCCTCTCCCCCTCCCCGAGACATGAGCACTTGGGATCCCTGTCTGACCCACACTCTGTCCCTTGGCCATCACACACACACTATCCCCAAACATCCCTCAGTGGTTAGGCCAAGGCTGGCCACCTGCAGGCTGATCTGGGAGGGTGGGCACACAGCAGCCCCTGCACCAGCCCCTGAGTCCTGCACACAGCCCTTCACAGGGCCTCTGACTGCCTGGCCGGGCCCTCCTGGGGTTCTTCTCTGACCTTGGTTTCTGCCCTCGGTTGCACACATGGCCTCTCTGACCCTTCCGGAAGCTTTGAGCCACACCCCTACAGTGCTGCCAGGAATCAGGGGCCTGGCACCCACCTGCTGCCCCTTGCCCAGCCTTCAATGTCCAACCCACTTATTCCTGAGGGCACCTGGAGTGCCTTTAGTACCCAACCAGTCACTGCTCATGACCACCAGCATCCTGTCGCCAGGCTCCATGCAGCCCAAGGCACACCACAGGTCCTCATGGACACACACCCCAATGTCAGCCTGGCCACTGTGGCCTCGTCCCCAGCAGACCACCCCCCACCCCAGTTTCATACAGAAGAGGCAAAACACTGCTGGAACACTGAACAAAATTTATTGAAGAGAAACATGAACTGAAACCGCTGAAGAGAAGGGAATTGTAACATAGACAGACACTGCAAACAACCACTGCAAGTCACAAGTCCCAGGCCCCTCCCTCAGCGTGGCTCCCCCTACCACGTCCCTCCTTCCACAGGGCCCCAGGATCCACCTCTTGCCAGGATTGTGGGCTCTGGCAATGTGTACTCGCTTCAGGTAACCCCCTCCTGAGCCCACCCGCTGGGGCAGGGCCCTGTCTTATAGACTGCACAGGACAGTCACAGGATGCTGGAAAACATAGCAGGGAACACCCCACCAAATTGAGGAAACTGAGTCACGAGTAACAACAGGGGTGGAACACCAAAGCACAAAGCTTCCTGGGGAGCCTCAGGCAGCCCTGCTCCGTCCTGTGTCTGGTTCGTCCTCCTGCAGTCGAGGTCACGGTCACAAGGTGAGCGTCTGCCATGCCTCCTTCCCACTGTCTCCTGGAACTGCGCTGGGGTACTCTGGAAAGGAGCTGCTCAGATACAAACATAAACATCCCCAAGACAACAAGCAGCTGCTGGCCGAGATCTACACCGGCAAAGCAGAGGTGGAGTTCTTGACACGGAACAGCAGTGAGCAGAGCCTGGGCCTGGTGATGACGCAAACCAAAAACAACTACCCATCCCCAACAAGTCCTCTCTTCTCACACTTCTTCCTCCTCCTCCCCCTCTTCCTCCTTCTCCTCCCCCTCTTCCTCCTCCTTTTCCTCCTGCCCCTCCTTATTCTCCTATTCCTCCTCCTGATCATCCTCTTCTTAATTCTCCTCCTCTTTCTCTTCCTCACTGGTGCAGGGGCTCATGAATGCTGCCTTCCTGGGGCTCCCCTCATGCAGTGTAGATGATCCTAAAGACGGGCTGGACCCTGCAGCCTCCCCTGCCGGGCTTCACTTCTCCCCCACAGCTCTTCCTCAGCAGCCCTGGCTCCTTCTGGCAGAGGCAGGCCCCAGGCAGGCTCCTCCAGGTCCCACATGGCCTGGGTGCCAGTGGGCATTCTCAGCTCAAAGTTCACAGGGTGGATATTTGGGGGTGTCCAGATGACCAGGCCAGAGCCGCCAGCCACACTGTCTTTAGCCCCTGCTTTGTTGGGGTCCCCATCTGAAGCCCAGCCACCCCCTGTGCTAAGTGTAGTGGTTCCCTGCTTGTGTCTCCTGTACCTGTTAGGGGCCATGGGCCCGGCCCCCACTGAACCAGATGCTATTTGGTCTAGGTTGGTGAAGTCCCTTCCAGCTGGTGGAAAGTAAAGGGGCTTGATCTTGACCTGGCTTCCCTGTCCCTCTGCCCCAATCAAGTTCCCTGTTAGTGTAAGCTGCCCCTTCCCTTTGTTCAAATGTCCCTGCTGCCTGCCAGTGGAAGGAGTGCTTGGGTCTTCTGAGCCTATGTTTCCCAGGGCTTGGGATGGCTCATGGCCCCAGCCCCTGCCTCGTTTCCCGACTCCTCTCCTGCAGCCTGTGGCCCCTCCCTGCCTGGAGTCTGGTTTTCAGCCTTGGGATACATGGCCTGGCCATAGTCTTCTTCCCTAGTGCTTTCACTGCACGACAGCCGCCTGCGTTTCACTAATGGGGGTAAGCCTCCCTGTACAGTCTGGGTGCTGCTGTCGCTAAAAGACCTTGCCTGCACGGTGGCCTGAGGTGCAGAGACACTGGCTTCTGCTCTTGCCTGTCTACCAGAGGCCCCCCGGCCTCTCCCTGATGGCTTCTCCTTATTCTTCATCACTGCCTCAGTGTTCTCCCACTCTTCTTCATCTCGAATAAGCTTCATTAACTCCAGAAAATTGGGAGGACACCCTCGCTGATCCAAGAGCTCCAGCTTGCCTCTGAGGGCGGGGGTCATGGAGACCCGAGCTAAGAGATGTTTCAGACGAATCATGTCTGCGCTGCGCACTGACAAGGGGCTCTTCTGCACTGCTTTCTGCAGCAGGGGCTCTAAGCGCAGCAGGAAAGTGGAGACTTTCTCTCCAATCTTCGGAAAGGTCTGCAGAAACTTAAACTGAGAGGCTCTGAAGTCCTCTTTATCCCCAAAGATCTGCTTTAAGGCGTCAAGGCACTGCTCCACAGTTATGGAGTCATTGTTGGCCTGAAGCACCCGCATGATTGACAGAGCAGGCCCTCGTAAGCTCTCCAGCAAACGCCGTCTCTTCTCCATCTCAGACACTTGCCATATGGGCATTATCTCAGTGACCTGCTCTAGCCAGTCTTCAAAGGTCTCTTCACCTGGGCTAGGGGAAGCAGTTCCCGAAAACACTTTCAGTTTCCGGTACCACATACTTTCTTTCAGAGGCTCTAAAGGTGGGGGTCTAACTTGGGGTACGACCTCTGCGTTCAGGCTCTCAGCAGGGAGGCTGCAACATCCCAGGGCTCTGGCCACATCTGTCATACTTCGGCCCTCATCTTTCAGGAAGTAGTTCAGTCTAATGAGAAACTCGTCATCTGGGTTACGGGGTTTTACCACCACTTCCCAGGAGCCCCCCTTTCCTGGTATGTGACTAGGCAGAGTAGTGTAATCGACAGTGTCAGCCAATTCGATGAAGACTGCCTTGGCATTGTCTTCCCTCCTGAACATTCTCCCTAGCACCCTGTATGCGCGCAGGGGCTGTAAGCCTGCCTGCACAGTGTCCTGAATTTCCACCTCACTACACTCCACGGGGATGCCTATGATCAGCAGGGCCTTTCTGGGGTCCATGTCCATCCCCTTGCACCAATCCTCTAGCAGTGTCAATGCCATTGCTCCCACTTTCTATGGACTGATCTAATACTAGGGCAGCAATCAGCTCAGTTTGACAGCACTCAAATAACTCTGAGCCACTGCCACGTAGGAAGGTAGAAGTGGTCCCAGGTTTCCACAGCCTGCAAAGCAAATGGGATGAGAGCATTGTTAATGCCTACCCCAACCTACACCCCCAAGCACCCCTCCTCTGCCCCCACCCCCCAGCAGGGATGGAGTCCCTTCTTCCCAGGGTTCCCCAAGTTATTTTGGGGAGGGTAGAGGGTGGAGGTTCTCCCCAGGCAAAGATCTCCTCATCTCACCACTCCTTGCTGACCTCCTCCTGCTGTGGGTTCCTCCTCGAAGTCCAGAGGACTCTGCTGTGTGTGCTTCGGGTATCTGTAGTGAAAAGGCCAACGTCAGGAGGCAGGGCCTGACATCTGGGGACACTGACAAGCCCTCCAGGCAGAAGAGGGCAGGAGACGGCCTCACTGCTCACTCAGGGCTATGTGGGCTCAGGTCACCCAGCACCCTCCTTGCTGGAGTGAAGGCTGGCAGCAGGAGAGGTAGAATGGCCCTCTTTCTCAGGAATGCCTGACAGATGAGAAAGATGGCCGAGCTCTGCGCAATGCAATGAGAGTGGTGGGTGTGGAGATTGTGTGACAAGCTGCAGTGTTGCCATGGATACAGAGAATACCATGGACCATGGGTTGCTATTGCAGGGGAGTGTCATGTGGTAAGGCTAAGGTCCTTGAGAAGCAACAGGTGATGTCATTGGCCTCCAACCAATAAAGCTTCCCAGTAAAAAGGAGGGTGGGAGAGGGAAGGCGAGGTGGGCATGAGGAGTGAGTGCTGAAAGGACAGGAGCTCATGGTTTCAATTGTGTGGAAGCTGAAATCAGGTAGAAAAGGGACCCAGATAAGGTCCCCACTGCCAGACTGCAGGAAACCAACAACTCTCGCCCTAGAGATGGCCCTACCCTGCAGAGTCTGTGAACACTGGCAGGCAGTCCCCTCTCCACACTCTTTGCCAGGGTTCCAGAGGCCCTCCCAACAGGGCCCACCTCACAGCTGCTCACCTTTCTGGGTTGGCCCTGCTGGCAGCGCAGATGCTGCAATAACACAGCCACTTCAGAGTCACTCTGCTCTTCAACTCTATCCAATTAGGCAGTTCCTGACTCAGGCGTGATGGTTCCTGCTTCCCTGGATCTGTCCAAGGCAAAGCACAGGTATTTTGCTGTGATTCTGTCCCACACACATGTCCCTGCTCAGGCCATGCCAATTCAGATTCTGCATAGGTGTCCACTAGGACCCTGGTGCAGGGGTAGAAGAAACTGCTCAACTGGCAGAGGGAAGAGGAGGGGGGAAAGGGGGAGGGGTGGGGGGAGGAGGAGTGGGGGGAAGAATGGCAAGAGGCGTGGGAGGTGAGGAGGGAGGTGGGGGGTGGGGAGGGGGGGCGGGGGGGGGCTGCTGCTAGGGCAGAAGGGATCCTAAGGTAAGGTTGCCGCCCCACCCCCACTGCAAACTTCATTCCCTCCCAAGCCCCACCCCTGCAGCCATGTTGCACCCCTTCCTAAGCCCCACCTCAAAACTTGCACCCCTGCTGCCAAACTCCACCTACAACTAAGTTGCACCTCTACCCCAAGCCTAGCCCCCCACCAAGTCCAACTCCTTCCACCACCCAAGTCTAACTCGCGCCTCAAGCCCTGCCCTCACCCATGGTCCAACTCCTACCCTAAGCCCTGCCCCCTCACCAAGTCCAACTCCTACCTCCATGCAAGTCTAACTGATGTCCCCAACCCCCCTACCTCCATTTCCCTGTTCCCCCAATCCCCACCCTGTTATTTACATACACCCACACCACCGACACCAGTGGAGGCAGGTAGAATCTAGGAGGGGAAGGTTCGAAGCCACTTTCCCTCAAGGGCAAGGGCCAAGAGCTACTGTCCTGACTGCAGTGTCTCCGGGCAGGGTCGAGGGTGGAATAGGTCTCCCTGAAGTTTTTTTTTTCTTTTTTTTTTTGAAACGGAGTCTCACTCTGTCACCCAGGCTGGAGTGCAGTAGCGTATGATCTCAGCTCACTGCAACCTCCGCCTCCTGGGTTCAAGCGATTCTCCGACCTCAGCCTCCTGAGTAGCCGGGATTACAGGCGTATGCCACCATGCCTGGCTACTTTTTGTATTTTTAGTAGAGACCGGGTTTCCCCATGTTGGCCAGGCTGGTCTCCAACTCCTGACCTCACGTGATTCACCCGCTTTGGCCTCCCAAAGTACTGGGATTACAGGTGTGAGCCACCACGCCTGGCCAGGTCTCCCTGAAGTTCTGCCTGGAAATGGCAGGGATTCCTCGGGGTGCTGTGTGTGATCTAGTGGGATCTCACCTCCATGGAAACCTATGGCCACCAGCCCCTAGACCCCGTTGAAAATAGCAAGGATTATTGCGGGGATCCCCCGTAATCTAGGTTGCTGTCTAAGCCCGGGGTCCAGCTCCATACCTGCCGGAGGTGCCTCCAAGCCGGTGTTCCCGCGCAGCGCAACCACCACACGTCTATGGCGGCTGCCGCCTCAGTGCCGACTGCGCCACGAGGCTGTGGCGGGAAGAGGTTGTCTGGAGACGACACCACTCCCCCAGCGGAATTGCACACGGCCCGCTCACGGTTGCGCACTGGTGACATAAACTCTCCTACTTCCCACAAGGTGGTTCCTCACCCCGCCCCCCCGTGCCAGCCTGAGCCAGCCTGCACCTTTGAGGACAGAGAATGCAAGCCCAGCTGGGAGCCACTTACATTGCAGAATAGCTCCCAGTCCTGTTGTTTATTGGCTGGACGATGGTGGCAGCCAGGCTCGCCACGTGCCATTTGGCCCAGCAGCCATTGTGGCTGTTCCCCATTGGAGGGGAGCCGTGGCGTCCCAAGCCTGTGGTGAAGTGCCGGGTGCAAAACACCCCGTGCAACATATAGGCCACGTGAGCGCACTTGCTACATGAAAGTCATAGCCCCCGTTTTTTATTGGACTGTGTTCTAGGGGAGGAGGGCAAAAAATACAGCTAATGCCTGCATTTCACAAGGGCATTAGTTTTTTTCACTGCTCACTGAGAGCCAGATGACTGAAAATATTCCATTCTCCCGCTATTCTCCTGATTTCACGACCAAATATTACGCACCTAGTACCCAAGCTGCTTCCTGTCGTTTCCCAAAGCAGGTTTCTTCCACAGAGGGAAGATCCTGGGGCCTGCAGTGGCCCGAAAGTGCTGTTCCAGAAAAGGGTGTGGGTGCGGCACAGGTAGCATACTTCAAGGTGCACATAAATCCCCTGGTAATCTTAAAAAAATGCAGGTTCTGAGTAAGGAGATCTGAGGCAGGGCTGGTTCCACTGAAAGCTGTGTTACTTGCTGCATATCCCTGCCCAGGCTGTGTGGAGCAAGGGTCTGAAGCCTATGATTACATTTCACGGCCAGAAGTTATGGACCTTTAGTGACATAATATATTTGTTTTTCTTTCTTTGTGTTTAAAAAAACAAAAACAAAAAACAGGCTTTTCTGGTAATGTTTTAATAAATATGTTAAAAGCAGACAACATTTTAAATTGATGGTCACTAAGCAAGATATTTGCAGATGTCACCTTCTTCAGCCAGGTGTGGTGGCTCACACCTGTTATCCCAGCACTTTGGGAGGCCAAGGTGGGCAGATCACTTGAGATCAGCCTGGCCAACATGATGAAACCCCGTCTCTACTAAAAATCCAAAAATTAGCTGGGTGTGGTGGTGCAGGCCTGTAATCCCAGCTACTCAGGAGGCTGAGGCACGAGAATTGCTTGTACCTGGGAGGCAGAGGTTGCAGTGAACCCAGATTGCACCACTGCACTCCAGCCTGGGCAACAAAGTGAGAGCCTGTCTTTTTTTTTTTTTTTTTTTTTTCTGAGAAGGAGTCTTACTCCTTCTCCAGCCCAGGCTGAAGTGCAGTGGTGCAATCTCGGCTCACTGCAAGCTCCGCCTCCTGGGTTCACGCCATTCTCCTGCCTCAGCCTCCCGAGTAACTGGGACTACAGGCGCCTGCCACCACGCCCAGCTAATTTTTTGTATTTTTTAGTAGAGATGGGGTTTCACTGTGTTACCCAGGATGGTCTCAATCTCCTGATCTTGTGATCCGCCCACCTCTGGCCTCCCAAAGTGCTGGGATTACAGGTGTAAGCCACCACGCCTGGCCGATATCCTGTCTAAAAAAAAAAAAAAAAAAAAAAAAAACCCTTGAGAGTCCATTAAATCAATCTCCTTCATGTGACAAGAAAATAGTGCTGGAAGCCATTGCTTAGCTGCCTGGTATCACAACATCACAGAAGGTGATGCCTCGGAAAGAGGTTCTGCCTCAGTCAGCTCTGAGCTACTGAGGCCTGTGAATGTAGTGATTTGGGGGACCCAGTCTGGAGTCCTAGTACCTGGCTCTCCGCCAACTCCCAGCTTCCAGACCCTGCCCCTAAGCATGAGCTTTCTCTCTGCCAGTTTCCAACCCCCTTTTTCTCTCAACACTTCCACTAGGCCATTTTGAGGGTAGAGGGTCAATGGTTGGGCCTGTTGCCCCCAGAGGCTCAAAGCCTTGGCACATCAAGCCCTTACCATGCAGGTCCCATTCCCAGGGCAACATGGATGCCTCCCCCTGTCTAGCTATTTGCCTCCCCCGGAGACTCTGAGATTTTTCTCCTTCATCTATCTGAGGCTTCTGGGAGAAGGTGGAAGCCCATGTGCCCTTAATACAGCCGACCTGAGATATCCCTGCCCTGTGCAGCCCCAGCTGCACTGCTGAGGCGTGATCTTCCACCTTCCCGTTCCAGGGCCTTGAGGTGGTCTCTGGAGTGGGCTCTACAGCCTGAAGGTGGCATTTGCCCATGGGTGGTTGCAGTGTCTGCAGACAGAGAGCAGGCACCAGCGGGACCCCAGAGTGGCCGAGGGCACCCTGGGGAGGAGCCAGATTGCTGTGCCCCCAGGCAGTAGGTGCGAGAGGGGGTCCCAGTCTGGAACCTGAGGAGAGGGGAGGAGGGTCTCCTTGCTGCAGGAGTCTGGGTGGGGTGAGCTCCTGGCTGCAGGGTGCCTCTGGCTACAGAAGGGGACTATGGGAGAGACAGGGGCTCTGACTGTGGGGGAAGGGGACTCCTGGCTGCTGACACGGGAGGCGTGGGAGGGGGTTGTCAGGTTGCAGGGATGATGGGAGGGGGCTCCTGGTCAAGTGCTGGGAAAGAGGAGGTGGGCACATCCAGCTGCAGGGTTCCATATGATGGTTGGAGTGGCTCCAGCTGTAAGTTCTGCCATCAGGGGCTGTACACCAAGGTGAAAGAGGCGCTTCCTGCTGTGGAGGTGGGGGATGCAGTGAAAGGCTCTGAGCTGCAGCAGTAGGGGTGGGGGAGCATGGGCTGTGACACTGGGCAGGGAAGATGCTTCAGGCCCTACATTTGGGAGTGGCTGGTCTCTGGCTGTGTGGTGGGGGTCGGCTGACTGGCACCAACATCCCTTTCTACCCTTTGCACTCACAGGCTGCGTCAGAGACTGCAACAGTCAGCACACATTCCTGTCTGATCAGGCTCCCTCCCTCAAGTCCTCTGCGATGGCTCTGGCGATGCTTCGGGACTGGTGCAGGTGGATGGGTGTGAACACAGAGCGCTCCCTGCTCATCCTGGATATCCCTGATGACTGTGAGGAACATGAGTTCCAGGAGGCCGTGCAGGCTGCCCTGTCGCCCCTGGGCAGGTACCGAGTGCTCATCAAGCACTTCAGAAAGGAGCTCGGGGCCAGGGCAGCCTTGGTGGAGTTCACTGAGGGTTTAAACTGAAGCTTGATTCCCTGTTGAATACCAGGCAAAGAAGGACACTGGAACATGATCTCCTTGCCCCAGGCCCCTGATGCTGATTTCAGGATATATCCAGTTTCCCTGCACAGCCCCAGGGGCAAGCAGTGGCCAAAGGTGCAGGTGAGGCAGGAGCTGCAGGTGAGGAAGACGAGGCAGGTGATGGAGGAGCTACAGGTATAGCAGGAGCCATAGGTGAGGCAGGAGCTGTGGGTAAGGGTGAGGTAGAAGCCACAGGTGAGGCAGGAGGTGCAAGTGAGGCCAGAGGTGCAGGTGAGGGAGGAGCTGGAGATGAGTTGAGAGTTGCAGAAGAGGCAAAAGAGTCAGATGAGGGAGCCACAGGTGATACAGGAATTGCAGGGGAGGCAGGAGCTGTGGGTGAGGCAGGAGGGACAAGAGCCTGGGTCCAGCCTTGGCGCTGCACCCTGCAGGCTGTGCTGGAAAACAGGGCCTGCCAGGAACTAAGACCCTTTTCCAGGAGGGAGCAGCCAGGCTGCGAGGAAGAGTCCTTTGAGAGCTGGGTGGAGCATGCCAAGGATATGCTGCAGCTGTGGTACCATGCGCCGGAAAGGGAGAGGAAGAGGTGGCTGCTGGAGAGCTTGGGTGGCCTGGTCCCGGACGTCGTGAGTGGCCTCCTGGAGGAAGATCCCAACTTGGTGGTGCTGGACTGCCTGGCGGTGGCGCTGGAGCAGGTATTTAGGAACCGGGTCACTCGAATGACTTCCGGGCTGAAGTTCCTGACCTGCCCGCAGGGGCCCTTTGCCTTCCTGGTACACCTGGAAGGCCTGCTGCAGATGGCCCTGGAGAAGGCGGCTGTCCGCCCGGCCCTGGCCAATCACCTGCGACTGCGGTAGGTGCTGCCTCAGGCCTGCCCTAGGGAGGCCCTCCAGAATACCCTGAGGGGGATGCAGCTGGAGAGGAGGCCACCCAGCTTCCTGGGGCTGCTCCAGCTCATCCAGGAGATGGAGGTGTGAGTGGCCTCCCCAGTGAGGAGCCAGCAGGGTGTGGCCTGGCCAGTGGCCGCAGCAGAGAGTGAAGACCCAGTTGCCGCCCAGGCAGCTCCTGCCCATGGAGATGCTGCCCAGGCCTCCTCAGCCCAGGGGGATGCCAGCCAGGCTGATCCTGGGGTAGAAGATGCTGCTGAGACTGCTCCTGCCACCAAAGAGGCTGTCAGGGGCACCCCTGCCACTGGGGAAGGTGAAAATGCCCCTGCAGAGCTCAAAGGAGCCAGAGGGCCTTGTCTAGGCAGGAGGCCAGGAGGCTGAGGAGCCCCCCAGAGGGAGGCTTATGTTCATCCTGGAGGAGTTGGAAAATGAGGACAGGGCCAGGGAGGTGGGCCAGCGCAACTCCTCCCCAGGCAAATAGGCTCAGAGGGCCCCAGGGCCTCCTCTCCTCTCAGGCTGCAGCATCCTGGAGGCAGAGGGGAGGCCAGGCCAGGGCTGGTCCCTCATCCCACATCAGGATTGGGGCCCCCCACCTCCCTCCAAAGGGCCCTGGCCACCACCATCAGCCCTTCCCGGTGACCCAGATGACCACGTTGATACCAAATGGGGTTGGGGGAGGTGCCCTTCCTTTGCACCCAGTGCTGCACCCAGCCCCAGCCCCAAACTCTGCCATCTCCAGGGTTCTGGCCTGGAGGGAGCCCTGAGTGGCCAGCTGCGGCCTGGGTGGGGGCACCTGAAGATGTCTGTCCCCCACCCCTTGTCCTGGGTTGGGAGAGACAGGGGCAAAGAGGTCCTCTCAAGAGTGCCAACTGCCTGGGTCTCCCAAGAGGGTCACCCCACTTGCCGTCCCCAGGGCAGGCTGCCCCCTGTTCTGGGAAGCCCACCCTCACCTGTGTAGGCCCTGCAGTGACCCAGCAGACGCCCACCCACTGCTAGCTGTCATTCCTGTGCAAAGTTGTGTGTTGTGCACCCACCTGGGCAACCGCCTCTAGGCCCAGGGCATGTGCTGTGAGCTTCCTGCGAGCCCAGGTTCTGCTCGCTGCTGCCTGTCCTGCATCTTAAGCACCACCTCTGCTTTCCTGGTGTAGATTTAGGCCAGTGGCTGCTTGTTCTCGTGGAGCTGTGTGTGTTCTTCTCTGAGCAGCTCCTCCCCAGAGGCCCTCAGCACAGACCCAGGAGATGGTGGGAAGGAGGCACCAGGGCACGGCGGATGCTCACCCTGTGACCACGATGGTGACCATGACTGTGGGAGGAAGAGCCGGACCCGGGATGGAGTGGGGCTGCCCTGCCTGAGGCTCCCAGGAGAGCTTCATGCTTTGGCGTTCCACCCCTGTTACTCATGACTGTTTCCTCGACCTGGTGGGCTGTTCCCTGCTGTGTTTACTGGTGTCCTGTGACTGTCTGTGATGGCCATAGGGCAGGGCCCTGCCCCAGCAGATGGGCTCAGGAGGGGGTTCCCTGAAGCCAGTGGACACTGCCAGAGTCCACCGTCCTGGAAAGAGGTGGACCCTGAGGCCCTTGGGAAGGAGGGAGGTGGCAGTGGGGTCAGCAGCAGGAGGGGGGTAGACGAGGCACCTTGCCAGGAACCCCAGGAGGAGGGATCCCAGGACCTGTGTCCTGTGGTTGCTGTTTGCAGTTTCTCTCTGTGTTGTGGCTCCCTTCTCTTCAATGATTTCAGTACATGTTTCTCTTCAATAAATTTCATTTCATGTTCCAGCCCGCCTCGCCTCTGCTGTGGGTAACTACTGGAAAAGGTCTCTTTGGGATAAAATGGGAGCTAGGGGACAACAGTGGCCTGGAATTCTGACCCTATTGTGGTCACTGGGATACGGTCAGGGCATAGTAGGCCAGCGATTGTAGAGAATGACCTAACTGTAGTTAGGTCATTTTTAAATTGTTCCTCAGTTTCTCATGTTTATCCTGTGTGTGGACTACAGTGCTAGAGCTTTCACCATCTCTTTGGAAAGACAGAAGAGATGGATAAGGAAAAGGAGCAGAGCAGAGCGGCACCCCTCACCTTCCCCAGGGTCTGGGTAGCGGGCGCAGGACGTGTCGCCTGTCCAAATTCGCAACCGCCACCAGTGTACGCGACGTGTGTGCACCTGTGCACCTTGGCGAGCGCGCAGCCGTCATGAGTGCGCCTGGGCACGCCGCCATTTCCTGCAGCCGCGACAGCACGGTCGTATGTTTCTGGTTGTCATTTTATTCTTTTTGAGAAACGGTCTCGCTCTGTTGCCCAGGGTGGAGTGTAGTGGCGCTATCATAGCTCACTGCAACATAGACCTTCTGGGCTCAAGCGATTCTCCCGCCTCAGCCTCCCGAGTAGCTGGGACCACAGGCGTGCACCACCATACCCGGAACCAAGTCACAGTCGGTCGCAGTGCCCGCTGGGAAAATGCGACCGTCCACAAAGCGAAACGGCCCTTCAGGGCGAGTTCGGCCTCGGCAGAGATTCTCCTGAGGCCACGCCCGCGCCGGCCACCAGATGGCGCCCGAGGATCACGAATGGACCCAAGGAGCGGGCGGCCCCTTCCCATGCGCAAGGTCTGCTGCCGCGGTCAGAGTGGCCTTGGGGTGACCGCACGTGGACCGTTGCCGGCAGAAGGGAGCGCGGTCCCGCGGGGGCTGAACGGGGCCCTTGCGGTCTGAGCTTGTTTCGCAAGGAGCCCTGGCGGCCATGGCCTCTGGGACACCAGACACGGGTAGTCAGGGCTGTCACCGGGAAGGGGGCGTGGACGTGCAGACAGGGAAGGCAGCCGGACCCTCCAACCATGCTGGGCCCTCGGGCTGACTGTGGCTGGTCTGTGGGGCTCAGTGAGGAGGGACTTTGTTTCCTAGAAGTTTGATGAGGGAGCGCCATGGGGGTGGCGTCATCCTGACATCCTGCAGGGCAGTGGAGCCTTACTTTCCCTAGCCCCAGAGATCATGAAGCCTCTCTTTGTTTAAAGGTAGAAACCAAGGACAAGAGATTGGTGGGAATTGCTCTGGTTACAAAATTGCAGAACCAGACTTCTTAATTCTGGGACCTGTGCTGCTTTCATTACAGTCTACCGCTTCCAGTTTGTGATGTGCTCCTTCTGTCACCAGTTAGCAAACCTGCTGGCTGTGTCGCTCTGGCAGTGAGTCCAAAGGTGAAGGATGGGGGGGAGCTGATGCATTTTGATACTCAAAATGTCTCCTAAACTGTCAGGTATGGTATACCATCTCCTGCCTCCTTGATGCTTGTGATGGCACCCCAAACACTCAGTGTATTTGTACATCTAACATTCTTACTCCTGCCTGGACAGGCCCTCAGTATCACTCAGCAAAAGCTCAGTTATTACACAGGGAATGACAGCACAGTCGTGACTTTCTTGTTGTCATTTTTTTTTTTTTGACACAGTCTTGCTCTGTTGCCCAGTCTGGTCTATGTCCACAGTATCTTCCTGGTCTGCTTATACTAAGTCAAGCAATTTCTGTGCTGGCATGGGTTCCAAGCACCTGAGAAAGCCCAGTGTCATCTCTTTTTTCACAGTGGTTCTCTTTTGGCTGTACTTTATATTCCTTCTAGCATAACCTCTTCCTGACTGAAGGCCAGGCAGAGCACAGGCCACTTTAAGGTTTAACTTTCAAGTAACTAAGAGCCTCCCTTTCCCAGAGCAGCAGCAGTGCTTGGAGAAGCACCTGCCTCAGCTTTTATTCTCCCTAGAAACTGACCTTTCCTTTTCCCATTGTAACCTACCTCTGAGCAAGCTGGTAAAAAACCTGCATGCCCCCTTCTTTGCTGCATGAAGGAAATTCAAACCATGCAAGTTCCTGTCTCCATGTGGGAATTCTCATCTTGGCCCTCCACTTCTAACTTCAGTGAAAACCTAGGCCACTCTCCTTCCTTTGCTTCCAGAAGCCATTTTGGAATTGCTGGAGATGACTGCTCCCCTCTCCTGAAAACTCTCAATTATATATGTAGTGAAACTTTTCTTGTCCTCTTGGTGTGTATGTGGTGTCATCAGTCTTAACATCCTAGCTGATTTTTGAGTGGGGATCTATCTGCCTCTGAAGGTGACCTTAAAAACAATTTTGCAGGAGGCATAATGGAGATTAGAGTCACTTTAAAGACCTCTAAGATGTATTAACAGGTATGGTGGTCCCCATCATATCTCCATTTAATCCACCAGTTCTGTCCCCTGTGGAAATTGGATGAATTCTGGAGAATGAGTGTACACTACCTCATGCTTCATCAAGTAGTAATCCCAGTTGCAGACGCTCTGTACCAGACACAGTATCATTGCTCAAATAGATTTATAAGGCCTTAGGTGCATAGTATGTGGCCATAGGTTTGATGAAGGCATTCCTTTCCATTTCAACCAATCAAGGAAAGAGGATAAGAAGCTGCTGTGGTTTGAATGGTTGTCCCCTCCTAAACCTATTGTTGTGGGAAATTGAGGACCGGAAAGACTAATATGGAGAACAGGAGGATTATTTATTTTAGGTACACACCAGCTTAGTGGATTTGTATTCAAGAAGCTGAGCATTAAACAAAGACAGAGCGGGGTTTTTATAAGTGAATTTACAGAAGTAAAATAAAAGTAGCTAGTTATATGATAAGTTATATAATTTACAGCATAGCTTAACTTGTGGCCTTGCATAGCCAGTGGCCTTATAGCTGCATTGAAAGAAAAATAAGAACTGGCTAAATACAGGTGTTTATAAAACATAGTTATGCTTAAGAAGCCAGGGAAAGGAATAACAGTAAAGAATTTGTGTCTCTCTCTTTTTTTTTTTTCCTTTAACCTTGTTTTGGAGGGGAGGGGTGTCTGGAGTCCATTCCTTTGGCCTTGGCTTCTTAAATAGCATTATCTTATAACTGTCCTTGAAGTGAACTTGCTAGGCAGAGCAAAAACTTGTTTTTTTCTTTTTAACCCTTGCCTTGCCTGCTACTTTTTTTTCGAGTGAATGAATACATATTTATTTTTAAATTTCTGCCTCACTATGTTGAAATTTAATCCCCAGTGTGACAGTATTGAGAGGTGTGGCTTTAAGCCGTGATTGGGTCATGAGGGCCTTGCCCTCATGAGTAGATTAATCCAATCATTGATTAATGGGTTAATGGATTAATAGGTTATCATGGGAGTGATACTAGTGGCTTTATAGGAAGAAGAAGAGAGAGAGACCTGAGCAAATGCAGCCGTCTCACCATGTGATGTGTTGTGGCACCTCAGGACTCTTCAGAGAGTCCCCACCATCAAGAAGGCCCTCACCAGATGCTGCCCCTTTACCTTGGACTTCTCAGCCTCCATAACTGTAAGACCTGTTTTATTTCTTTCTAATTAATTACCAAGTTTCAGGTGTTCGATTATAAGCAATGGAAAATGGACTGACACAGAAGCATTTCACGATCATGTAGACAAACAAAAATCTTTGTTTACCATTTGTCTCAAGACCATGTTAACTCTTCTGCCCTGTGTTACACTATCCTCTATCATAATATAGTCCAAAGAGATGTGGGTCATCTAGACAGTGCATAGAATGAAACATGGATCTGTTACACTGACATCATCATTCTGATTGGACAGGACAAGTAAGAGGCAGCCTACACACTGGGAGGCCTTGGTAAGACACGTGCACTCCAGAGGGTGGACAATAACCCCTATGGGGATTCAGAGATCTGCTACATCAGTGAAGTTTTTAGGGGTCCAGTGGTCGGAGGCATGCCAGGATGTCCCCTCCAAAGGAAAAGACAAATTACTGCCTCTTGAATCCTCCATCATAAAGAAAGTAGTGCACCTGGTAGACCTCTTTGGGTTTGGGGGAGAAAACATTCCACCCATAAGATAACTTCTGAGGTACACACACTGGAGGACACAGAAGGCTGGGAGATTTAAGAGAGGCAGGGAGCAGGAATGCGATCTGCAGCAGGTCCCGGCTGCAGTACAAGCAACTCTTGAACCATCTCATCTGACAGACCCTGCAGTGTCAGAGGTGTCAGTGGTAAGAAAGGAGGCACAGTAGGGTTTAAGACCAGTCCCCATGGGAGGATCGCCACACAGGCCCCTAGGGTTCTGGAGCAGGGCCATGCCACCCGCATCAGAGAATCATACACCTTTTTAGAAAACAGCTTCTGATGTGCTTCTGGGCCCTGGCAGAGACAACGCTTGACCGTGGGACACCAAGTGACTGTGTGTCACTTGTAAGCTGAAATTTTCCCTTACAAGCTGGGTCTGTCAGACCATCGGGCGAAAGTCAGATGACCCTCCAGCAATCCATTGCACGATGGAAATAGTTCATCTAGTCAGGAACAGAAGTGTGAGTGAGCTACGGAAGCAGCAGCCAAGACACTTGCATGACCCATCACAGTTATATCAGTGCCCCTCCCTTAGCTCACACCTATGGCTGTGTGATCTCACGTGGCTAGATGAAGGAGGAGGAAAAGGCCTGAATATTGCTTATGAATGGCTTGGCTCAGTCTCTGGCCAATGGACAGCAGCTATATTCCAGCCACACCCACCTAGGGAGAGCCCTGAAAGACAGTGGGGAGGGAAGATCTTCCTGGTGGGTGGAACTTTAAGGTGTGCACCTTGTCATCCACTTTGTGTGGGAGAAGTGGCCCACGGTGGGAATATGCACAGATTTCTGAGCAGTGGCCAATGGGCTAGCCAAAGGACTAAAAAGGAAAGGACTGGAAAACTGGAGACAAGGAGGGCTAGGGTAGAGACATATGGATAAACATATGGGAGTGAGCATGAAGGAAAAGTTTACATCATATACGAGTGCCCACCAGAAAGCATCAACAGTGGAGGAGGAGCTGAACAGTCAAGTGCACAAAATGATGCAGCAAGTTGGACGTTAGCCACACTTCACCATCAGCCAGTCCAGAACTGACACAATGGGCCACAGTGTGAGAGATGGAGACTGCTCGCAGGCCCAGAAGCATGGAATCCTACTTAACAAGGCCTTTATTGCTGCTACTGGCTCTGAAGGTCCAGTCTTCCAGCGAAAGAGACCAATGTTGAGACCCCAATATGGCACCATTTCTCCATGTTGGGTCCGTTATCTCTTAGAAGAGACATCCGTTCTTTCTTACAAGGACAGAAACCTATTCTGAGTATGGGTTTTCCTTTCCTCCTGGCAGAATTTCAGCCAACATCACTATCCAGGGGCTTTCAGAGTGTATGAACTGCAGACCTGGAATCCCACACAAGAGGGTATCCTACCAAGGGACACACTTCAGAATGAAGGAGGTATGTATGTGAGCCCATGAGCATGGGATAGTCTGGTATCACACTGCCACCCAGAAGCTGCTAGCTTGATAGAGTGTTGGAATGGCCTTCTGGAGGTGTAGCTGAAGCACATGCTTAGAGGCAACACCCTACAACGATGAGGCGCCATCCTACAGGATGCAGTATATGCACTGACTCAGAGATGTCCATGGGCACTGTGTCCCCAGTAGGAAGAATACATGGGTCTGGAAGCCATAGGGTGGAGGCCAAAGTGGCCTCACTTTCCATCTTTCCCAATGACCTACTCAGGGGCCAACACTGTGCTTCCCGTCTCCTCAATTCTAGGCTCTGCAGGGTAGAGGTTCTGGTTCTTGGCACTCTTATCAGGAAATACAGCCTGGGTTCCAGTTGTACTTATAGCCACCACTGCTGCCTGGCATTTTAGGGTTCCTTGATTACAGACACCAGCAAGCAGGAAGAATCATCATGGTGGTGGGAGTAATAGATAATTATCAAGGAAGAGGCAAGACTGCTGGTATTATATAATAGAGGCAGAGAGGAATATGCTGGGGACTCAGATGATCTTCTCTAGTGACTTTTGGTACTCCCTTGCCTCATTGGCTGTAAGTGATTAAGTACAGTGTGAGTGGTCTAAGAAGGGTATGGATACAAGGGACTCAGACCACTCAGGGATGAAAGAAGCTGCCAAAACTGCAGAGGTTATAGTTGAGGGTGAGGAAATTCTAGAATGGATAGTGGAAGAGGGTAATCATGAACACCTGTTGCAGTTGCAGGACCAACTGCACTGATGGGGCTTGTACTTTGTCCTGCCAACTTTTCTCTTCTTCTTCTTGTTCTTTTTTTTTTTTTTTGAGACAGAGTCTCGCTCTGTCACCCAGGCTGGAGTGCAGTGGCGCGATCTCTGCT